GAATGCATGTCATAACCATAAGGACCTTGACCAGAGTGCATGCCATAACCATAATAAGGACCTTGACCAGAGTGCATGTCATAACCATAACGACCAGCTGGCCTACCTGCAAATGACACATCTTGATTGTTTGGATTACAGTACCCCATAGGAGGACCATAGTAGCCTTCAAACGGCACTGGGCCAGGATAAAACCCTGGCCTAATCGGCATACGTGGGAGGACACCAGGATCAGAAATTGGAGCTCTGAACATATCTGCACTAGTAGGTTGATTGCCCCTAGGACCAGCACTACTTCCAGGACCAGCTGAAACCTGAGAGGGATAAGATGGAAATGGATCCATATGAAATCCCCCAGGACCCATTGGGCGGCCATACGGATGGTTCCCTTGGTACCAAACAGCANCTGGATGATTACTTACTGGAGGGCCATGTGATGTGTCAAAATGGTGATGAGGAAAATTAGCAGTAGGATATCCTTGTGGACCAGGACAGTCAATTTGCCCTCGCTCTATACCATGTCCTGTACCAGCTTCACNATATGGTTGATGATCACTTCTCCAGGCATTGCCATCTCCACTCCGTACATTAGGATCTGCAAAAAAAAAAAAAAGAGGTTAAAATCGGATAATATAGTGCAGAAAAAGGTTCGAACAAACAGCATGAGCTCCATTATCTATTTACAGACTGCTCTGAAGGATTCACAGAAAGAAAAGAAGAGAATAATAGATTCGAAATTAAGAACCTTCTATGCAATCCACAGCTCGCCCTTCTGCAGATTGTTCAGATGATGATCCAGGACGAATATGAAGACCATTGTCTGCATATTAATAGCTTCTAAGTACCATGTAAAATAACTCAAATACTTGTATCCATTCTAGCGCTACACCACTGTATATAATCTAGTATATAATCTAAGTGACCCTAAAATACCACCTGCGATAAAATAGGTGTGCAGCCAACACCAACCAAGAAAAGGCACACCCTAAATAGTCGAATATGAAACATTTTTCTCGTTCCTAGAGAGCAAAACCTTCTGACGTCAACTACTCTGATATTTGCTTTGAACAAAAAAAACCAATAAGAACAGGATACATTTAGAAGTATTAACTTCCAGTGAAACCCTCAAGTTTTCATCACTTAAAATTGCAAAGACTCAAACGAATAGACGCAAACGGAACTGATAAGGGAATTACATTATGTCAGTATAATTCTGACTGCTAACACATGATACCTTGCGGCCCTGAACCCTTTGCAGAACTTTCTTTCTCAGCACCAAGCGAAGGAAAATCTCCAGAAGCCAAGGAAAAACCATCGTTCTTGGATGGATTAACTCTCTGTGGAAAAGGAAAGAAGATGNACATCAAACTTGAGAAAATCTAAAAACCAAACAATAATTTGCCAGATATTGTCGACAACAAATTCAACATATTTTATCATAGAGCTGAGGAAAATGAACATAGTTATCCCATAAGAGCTTCAAGTTATGGACCTAGTCAAATAATAAAGAACTCTTGCATTGGAGATGACATTTTAGAGTTGCTGACTGAATGATTTTCAGCACTCTAAGGCATAACATTTTAGGCTCCGAGAATCACTAATCTAGAAGAGACATGCACATCCAGCATAATTGATAAAATGTGACATCCGAGACTTGTTCTCACGGGAAAAAAAAATGGTATATTAAGCACCAAAACTTATATTTCGACTGGCTCTAGGTATTTAATTGAGACAATTATGAGTACTTGTTGGTCCATAAGCATAAACAATTCTCTTATGCTTCCTAAACTAATCCAAAGAATGGAAGAAAAGTAACAGGATTGTAGCATGGATCTCAACAAACAGACCAAAAATGATAGTGCTCAGGTGACCACAAAAACAGAGACAATCTAAAGCCAAGAACCATACCCATGAGGATGAATTCTCTGGTCCAGCTTCAGCAAAGCGGGATAACTGGGAACTCCCAGGTCTTGTTTCCGCGCTATGTGGACGCTGTGAAGCAAGTGATATCTGAGTAGATGGTAATACAGCAGATGCTGATGACGGCCGAGAGTTTGAATTCCATGCACTGGAAGAGTCATGCGCATTATCACTACCAGCAGTTGATGGTCGTGTGCCAGTTCCACCAGATGAAGGGCGATTACTGAAGTGGGTTGGCGAACCAGCCCCACTATCAGTCTGCGGTGACAACGACGATGAACCCCATGCATTCAGCGATGATTTGCTTCCCCAGCTGAGGGTTCCCCTACAAAAAAATTCAAAAAGAGAATAAACCCAGCTCTCTAATATGAGGAAAAATCAAGAAATGTAGCCTTTAAAATAGGAAAACTTACTTCGGAACAATTTCCACATCTGGGTCAAGGCCCTTATTCTCTAACCTTAATGCAAGAATATGAGTATTCAAGAGATAAATTACAAATATATTTACACCAACATAGGAAAACAAAGAGAATAAACATGAGTTTCGCTAGATACCTTTGGCTTGGTAAGTTTATGGGTTTTGGAACAGCAACCTTTCCTAATACAGTCATGCCACTTCTTCTGGTAGTGCCCCATCTGCATATCATGTTTTCAAAAACAAATTCTATCAGAGGGAAATGAGCAAAAGTAAGAGGAACAACTATACAACTAACACATAAATCATAGAAGGGATTATAGAAATCAGCTTCAGTCATTAGTCTTTTTATAATCATTCTGAATTATACTAAACAAGCAACGGAAACTAGCTTTCTCAACCAAACAAAGATACAATAAAATACTGAATCTCCTTCCAGTCATGGCCAATAGAACAATGTTCACTATATACAAACACCGGCTGAAAAAGCATTCTTAGCTTTTTACACTGCCAAACAAAAGTAGCAATCCGAAATTCTACTTCCATTCATGTAAATATCAAGTGTGAGTAACTATCGCCCTAACAAGCCCTATCAAACAAAGAAGCATAACCAAATCACGAGTTTTGTTATACTCATGGCAAATAAACCAGACTCTTTAAATGCCCCAGGCGAACATGACATACTTATATGTTTCAGAGTCAGAATAGATCAGCAAAGTGAACATACTTCTCGAGATATCATGAAAACAAATGTTTAGAAAGAGACAAAGCTGGTAAAACGCAACAAAGAGCTATAAACCTTCGATCTCCCGTCGAGCTAGAGGTCATTTATTCAGCAGCTACAGTAAAAACCAAAATCCAATTACGCCTCAGGAAAAACCTGTAAACGCAACACTCAAATTACGTCAATTATTGAATTCAAACCTTAAATCACAAAAGTAAGCCAGAGACTACAAAAAACCAATCCATCAGAATTTTACACCAACAAACAAAAAACCATGAGACTACGAAATTCAATCAATTGACAGCAACAGGAAACGTTCGACGAGACGAAAATCGTAACATTTAAANGAGTCATTGATCGCCCAAATCAGCGCATTCCGTAGAGCAACTCTAATGTAATCTAGGCAACAACCAGCAATGGAGATAAACAATCAGGTCCACGTACGAAGACTTAATCACTCGTAATCCGTCATCGTACCGAACGATAAACATAAATCTCGAATCGGAAGCTCACCTTCTCCTCGTAAACCCTAGATATCCTGAGAATGCACCGAAAGGCGAAAGAACAGAGACGCGGATCGAATGTAGCAGAGGGTGTG